TGTGGCTCAAGTGGTAGAGCGCTAGCCTTGAGCTGAAGAGCTGAGGGACAGTGCCCAGGCCCAGAGTTCAGGCCCCACGACCGGACCCCCCCCCAAAAAAAAATCAAGAAAGCTTTTACCAAAACTTCAAGACATAAACTGCTATTTTTCAGTAAAACTAGCATGTTAATTTTGTTTGGAATTTTTTTTAATGTTTAGATTGAACCTACAGCCTTGAACATGAGAGGCAAATACTCTTTTAAGCTGCTCTCCTAACCCCCAAAGTTTGTTTGCATTTTGGGAAAGGAAATAGCATGTTAAAAACAAACAAACAAAAACCAGTATTGATTACTTGTACCGTCTTTAATTTTGTCATTTTGTAGCCTGTAACTCTATGTTTGACATTAATAAACATACACTTTTGCAATCAGAATAAAAAAGAAAAAAATTCAAGCAACCAGAGGAAAGTAATCAGAATCATCTTTCTTGTTATTCGTACAACCAATAAGCCTTGTAAACATTCTTTAGAGGAAAAAAAGTGTGATTTCCCTACAAACACACACACACACACGCACAACATAAGTTTGTCTTGTAAGCCGAACCTCTCTGAGGTGTCCAAAGAAATTCAACTTTACAAAAAAGAGAAACAGACATGTCACACTTGTAAAGGAAAATGTTTTCAGAAAAGAGTTTAAGGGCAAGTGCTGCACGCCCAGAAAGGCGTGGCTTGGCCAGGGCACAGGCAGAGCCTTAACCAATCCGCGGCCTGGCTTCGGCGGGTCATCTGCATAGACAGGCCCGTCCCACCCTGCGTCCCGAGGCCCGGACCCCGGGCTTCCCAAAGCCGCGCCGGGCCTAAAGCGCTTCTAAGGGGACTTCCACCCCGCACACCCGGGAACGCCCAGGCCCAGCCAGGCTGTCCCACACTTCTGACCTGGGCAGGGCGCCCGGGGCGGGGGGGCAGCAGGGCTGACTCCAGGGGCGGCGTGGGCTTCTGGGGAGCAGCTGAAGGAAACGGCAGGTCTGCAGGGCGGCCACGCACCTGCAGGCCCAGCGCAGGCGCACACGTCCTCGGTGGCTGGCGAGCCCTGCAGATCTAGGCTGGGGTCCCCGGCAGCCCGCCCCCCGTCCATGCCACCCCTGCCCCGTTCCGGGGGGCCCAGGCGGGAGCCACGCACCGACACGAGCGGGATGCGAAGGTGGTCCCCCTGCAGCCGGTTGAAGGCGGGGAACGTGCTCCAGGCCAGGAAGCCTCCGGGCTCGGGCCCCAGCAGGGCCACGAGCAGCACCTGGTGCTGGAAGCGCACGGCCGGCTGCTCCTCGTAGCTGCTCCGCTTCAGCCACAGCCCTGCGTGACACAAGGAGGGGGTCAGGAGGGCCGGCCGGGGCGTGCGGGCCGCGGGCGGCCGGGGTGGGCCGGCCCCGCGCGCGCTCACCGTGGCTCCGGAAGGCCACCAACAGCGGCGGGATGTAGGTGAGCGCGGTGGCCAGCAGCAGGAACAGCGCGGCCTTGGAGCAGAGCCCCGCGCGGTAGCTGCGCTCGATCGGGTGAGAGAAGATCTCGTAGAGCGCCATGGGCCACCACACGTAGCCGGGTTCCACGTTGCGGACCCCCAGCGCGAAGCTTGGGGTGGCGGGATTACCAAGTTTGGTTCCTGCAGGTTGCCATCGCTCTGGTCTCCACGGCAACCGACGGCGCGGAAAAAGAACCAATAGGAAGGACGCACGGCGTCGGAGGGGGTGGGGCTAAGGGGAGGGGGCGGGGTCAGGGCGATCTCACTTTACCCGCAGGTCTTGGGGGGGGGACTTCTGTCCAGCCGACCTCAGAAGTCTCCCCACCCACCAAGTCAGACTTGGAGGCTTCTGGAGCATCTCAGGCCCTTTCTGCTTGTGTTGATTAATTCTGTGCGACTCGAGATTGATGATGTAATATGCAAATAGACCTCGGCAGAAAAAAGGTTTCCCCTGTTACTTTGTGTGTGCAGAAGAGAATGTTTCCGTTCAATGAAGTCTATCCACAGGTTAAGTGTGTAAAAGATTTGTCCAAAAGTTTCCTCTATCCCTGCCTCAATGGCTCACGCCTGCACTCCTAGCTACTCAGGAGGCTGAGATCTGAGGGTTCGAAACCAGCCCAGGCAGGAAAGTTCATGAAACTCTTATCCTAAAACACCAGAAGAGTCAGAAGTGGAGTTGTGGCTCAAGTGGTACAGCACCAGCCATGAGTGAATAAAACCAAGCTGGAGCTCAAGCCCTGAATTGAAAGAAACAAAAACAAATGGAAACTCTCCCTAAGGTCACCTATGAACCCCCAGGGTGGTTCACACAGAACTCCAATCACTCACAACACCTCTGCAGTCTGGGTGAAAAGCCAGGTGCCTTTCCCGAGATGACATTAACTGATCCCTTTACAGAAGTGCTTCTTCCTGCTAAACCAATAGTTCAAATGCAGAAGATTTTTTTTTT